TTTTTTTTTTTTTTTTTTTTTTTTTTTTTTTTTTTTTTTTTTTTTTTTTTTTTTTTTTTTTTGTCAATATTCGTTCACCTGTATCCATACCTACGTGTACACCTCGGCTTCTTGGATTGAATTACTATATTGTCCCTTCAGGTGTCCTCTCCTTAAAAGGGTTCGTTCGTTTGAATGTTTTAGAATTTTATATAAATAAAATATTTTTAACAATTTAATTTATTTACCTATCTTATTTTATTTCAAATAATTTGAATTTAATAACAGTATTAACTTGAAATATTCTAATAGATGCATTTTATTTCAATATGTAATGAATTAAAGCAAACAATATCTACTAGAGATGGAGATGAACAATTACATAAATAAATAATAAAATATATACTACGTTAAAAAAAAACTAAAAAAAAAATTGAGTGAATTTAGACCCTAACAACCACGGGTTTATTAAAATTTTTAAAATAAAATAACGTGATAATTGGCATTGGAAAAAATAAAAAAAAATAATTAATTAAATGAATTGGAAAAGATACACATGTGATGCCTACTAATAATTTTACATATCCAAGAAAAGGCTCCCACACGTGCCACACGTGCTTCACCCTTGAACAAAAACTCCTCTCTTTTGCTTCTATAAATTGATGGTACACCTCTCTCACAACACATAATTTAGAAGGAAGAAATGGCTCAAAAAATGGCATAGGTACATTCTTCTCCTCCCTCTTCTTCTAACACTACTCGGTCGTTCTCTACCTCCGTTCATTTTTTTTTTATCTTATTTTTCAGATGGGGTTCGTTCGTTCGTTAATGAAAACAGGAGGATGAATTCGACAATCCTCTACTGTAATTATAGTCTTTGCTCTCGTTTTCTCTTCGACCTTAAATTTTTCTTTTTCTGAATTGATTCATTTTTGTTGTCTTCTTTTTTCAAATAAGGGTTCGGTAAAGAAAACAGGGGGATGAATTCGATGCGATGCTTGTCAAGTAAAGAGCCTTCTGCTGTAAATCACAACCTTTGCTCTCGTTGTCTGTTCGACCTTGAACTTTTCTTTTTCCAAACCGATTTCATTTTTCGTATCCTTTTACATTTTCAAAACATATAGAGTTATTTATTTATTTATTTTAATTTTTAAAAACCCTTAAATTTGGATGGATTTATGGGTAGGTAGCACCCAAAAGCACCATTTTGGTAGGTAAGTGACATCTTGTACTTTTTTATGGGAATTATATTTTGTTTTTTTTTTTACAAAAGAAAAAAAATACTTTTCAATTAATCGAGGTTATTACTGACTTTTCACGACTCAAAAGTATAGATCTACTTATTTAATAAACGATTAAGAACTATAGTAAAAATTCTTATTTATTATTGTGTAAAAAAGGTTTTCTTTTGGGAGGAGGTTAAAAATATGTGGTAAAAATGAAAAATAAAATTTGAAGGATTGAATTATTTATATTTACTTTTTTTTTTCCGCTCAATAAAGAATTATTTATTTTTTTTAATTAAGTTTAGTTTCTTTGTTCTTGTTAATTAGTCTTCAAAAATATTTTTCAAATAAAAAAGAAATTATTTTATTTAAATTTGGTTAGAGATGTAAATGTTTCTTGAGAATTAAAAAAAAAAAACTAAAAATAATATTATTAATTAAGAAGTTTTCTAAATTTAAGTAGAAATTATAAAAATAGATTTTTTTTTTAAGACCTATTTTCTTTTAGTAAATATTTATTAATTTTTTTATTGCTATAAATTCGAATACAAATAAGTTGTGTTTGGACAAATTGAAAAACCGAGGCCGAACAAACAACAGACACAAGGGATTAGTAGAAGACTGTTTATTTGACAACGGATTTGCATGGAATTCAACGCTTCTCATTGGTCAACATTTCAAGATCGTCCAAAGTTACCAAAAATTAGTTAGCTATTACGATGTAACAATCCATCCTTTCATACATGAATAAATGAGTTATTATAAAAGACAGAAAGAGCAGAGAATTGGTGCACATTTGCACTGGCTAAGCGTGCGATTATACGTACATTTATTTAAGGCATAAATTATAACAATCGTACTTACCTACTTATCATTTCCCTCTATTATGTTGCTACCACGATGAGACTCTAGAGGGTTATCAACTATCTCCCGTAGTAGTTGAGAGTCATTTATAGCTCTAACTCTATCAAACCAACCAAGCTATCGATGCAACTGTGTATGAATGACTCTCAACAACTACTAGAAGTAGTTGGTAGCCGTTTAGAATCTCATCATTATAATAAAGGGGCGTGACTTAGTGCATGTCAACTAGGACACATACGTGAACTAGCCACAAATAAATTTCAATCGTTATTAAGGATAGTTAGAAACCCTTAGAGTTCATAAATATGGCTCCCAATCACTATTAGAGACGGTTAGGAATCCTCTGAAGCCTCATCATAGTATTATAACTGTGAGATCCCACATCGGTTGAAGAAGGGAACGAAACATTCTTTATAAGACTATGAAAACTTCTCCGTTTTAAAAATATTGAGGGGGAAGTATGAAAAAAAGCCTAAAGAGAACGATATCGGCTAGCGGTGGACTTGGGCCCTTACAATTATAATCAAACATCAAATTGATATTATTGATGATTGGATAAATAAAAACTTTATGATAATAAATCAATTAATCTTCTTATCCATGTTCCCAATGAGTTGTTTCATCTGAAATCTCCAAAAGAAGAAATAAGCCAAACCGAACCCGACCAATACATAAACCCAAACCCATTCGTCTTCACTCTCTTTGGGAGACCTCATTTCCTCAATCCCGAACCGCTCCCTTCCCAAATTACCATTTAACCCCTCATTCACGTACCCATTCAACACGTACACCCTCCCCTCATTCCCCACTGTCACGCTTGTAGCGAACTTCTCTTCATCGAGGTCAATTTCGTCATAAACCACCCCCTCCCCCCAACTGTCCTCGCTCTTCAGGAACCAAAGCTTTCTGTAACTCACCACCAAAACGACGCCGTCTCTCCTCGCCGCTATCCCGTCCGCCCCTTTCAGATCTTTGTTCAGCAAAACCAGCCTCGCCGTTCCGTCGTCCGCGTCCACTTTGTACATCTTTCCGGTGTTTGATTGCACCACCAGAAGATATCCTTTGCTCACGTAAACCGCTCCGTTTAGCCCTGAGGATGAGTAGACTTCGTTGGGGGTTGCGGGATGGGAACTGTAACTCGTTGATTTCGAGAAGACTGTGGCCGATCCGTCTATGTTTACCTTCCAGATGAAGTTTCCGGCGGAGTTCGTGATGAAGGCGTTGCCCTTGAAGTCGGCCGCGACGGCGTTTGCGACGGGGCGGTGACTGGAGGTTCCATCGGATGGGAGAGGAGTGAGGGAGATGCGGCGGCGAGATCGCAGATCGTAGGCAGCGAGGGCGTTGAATTCCGGAAGTGGAGGGGCAGCATGGACGGCTGCGAGGAGGCGGTTGTTGACGGAATCGATGGCGAGACCTAAGATCGAGACGTTTTCGGGGAGGTCAGGATCGTGGATTAGGGTTTCGGCGACGCCGGCGTCAGAGACGGAGACGAGAGTGCGGTGGTGGAGTGAGCCGACGACGAAATGCTGCGCGGATGCGTCCCATACGATGCCCTCTGGATACAGATTTGGGGATCGGAAATCGATAAGGTGGGGCTTTCGAGCTAGGGTTTGGGAGAGGAACAATTGGAAGAGGATGAAGAGGAGAATTGGAGAGCAATTACTTGGCGCCATGGGAGCGATTGGAGAGGACTTATGATGGATTAACGATTTGTGGAGTGAATTTATATGTCAGGAAGAAGATGATGAACAGATTCCTTGAAGAACCAAGACAATTGGACTGGATTTCTTGTCAAAGGGGTTTCTTTTCTTTAACTTCTCAAAAATTTAACATTTTAAATTTTTTTTCTTTTTTTCTTTTTTTTGTTCGATTTAGATGATGAATAGTTAAAAAAAACAAGTGATCATTCCACATTCTCAACGAAAAACGATCGTAACTGATTGTATTATGAACTAAGATGATAGACTTCTACCAATTCTCTCTATCACGTAGTCTCGATGCACACATCATCGTTGTTGGTGTTCTACATAATTAATGAAATTAGATTATTAATGATAATTTTATATCATAATCAAATGATTATATTCATTAAATCTTCAAATTTTAAAGACTAAAAAACTCAAATTTTGATGATTAAAATTAATATTATATGACAGATAATCGTAAAAAAAATTATAATATTCACTAAAAATTTCAAAATTTTATCTTTTATGGCAAGAAGCATCTTAATTTAAAATGTATTTAATATTTTTAAATAAAATTTAGAAAATAAAATTTCAATTTGTGTCCTCTCCGCCAATCATTTCTGTAGCCGACTTTCCCTGAACTTTATCGAGAGAAGAAAAAACAAGCAGCGTTCTTCCTTATTCATCGCTTCTTCATTCTCAGTTCTCCCACTTGAGTTCAGCTCAATTTTGTTGCTATCTCTCATACACAGGCAATAGAATCGTGAGTTTCAGGCATTTCCAGACTCGGAATTACACATACACCGCCGCCAAGGTGATTTTCTCTTCACTTTCTCGCTTTCACCCTCCTCTAGGTATTTGAAAATTTAAACTTATCGCAATTCTACTTTATCTGCACAGTCGAATTAGTCTTTTGGGTAGATGCATATACTGAATCTGTATAGACCCTCTTTCGGGCATATCTGGCAATGCTGTGGACATAGCGATTTGCGGGGCTGTTCTAGAGGGTTCACGCATATCTCAATCTCTACTGCTCACGGCTTGGTTCCCAGGTATTTGCATGGTTTCCTAGGTCGTCATGTAATGTTGCAAAAGAAAACGAAGAATTTAAGACCATGAATGGGGAATTGAATGCATGTTGAGTGCCTTTCTGTAATGAATATCATGAGAAATCAAGGACAAGTTGCTAAGAAGTAATAATAACTTCTGGGTACAAAGAAAATGTTAGGAACTGAAGCGAAGTTTGCCTTCTGTTTGGGTTGATTGCTATTTAGATTGGATGATAATAACATGTGCATTTTTGGACGTTGGAATCTCATGATTTGTAACCGCCCAAACCCACCACTAGTAAATATTGTCATATTTAGGTTTTTCTTTTCGGGCTTCCCCTCAAGATTTTTAAAACGCGTTTCTACACCCTTATAAAGAATGCTTCGTTTCTCTTTTCAACTGATGTGGGATCTCACAATCCACCTCTCTTTAGGGCCTAGTGTTCTCGCTGACACTCGTTCCCTTCCTTAATCGATGTGGGACCCCCTAATCCATCCTCCTTCGGGGCCCAGTGTCCTTGCTGGCACATTGCCTCGTGTCCACCCCCTTCGGGGCTCAGTCTCCTCTCTGGCACATTGCTTGGTGTCCGGCTCTGATACCATTTATAACACCACAATCTCACCACTAGTAGATATTGTCCTCTTTGGGTTTTCTCTTTCGGGCTTCCCCTCAAGGTTTTTAAAACGTATCTACTAGGGAGAGGTTTCCACACCCTTATAAAGAATACTTCGTTCCACTCTCCAACCGATGTGGGATCTCACATGATTACTAGTTGATAATTATAATATTTCATAGATCTCAAAATGGTAATCATTGAAATGTGTTAGACTTCAATGTCAATTATAGTTCATGTTGTATCAGACATTTGTCCAACTTATGATCCACTTTTTAGTGCCATCTTGTTCATAATGATATAATAACACATTAAAAGAGTAAGAATCTTTTAATTTGGCAACTTTTAGTTGATTTTATATCTTAAATAGGTCCAACTTCCATATCTCAGACATCAAAAGAGTTCATCAAACTTGTGATCCCCTTTTAGTACCATCTTGTTCATAAAGGCATAATAACACACTTGGTGACAAGAAAAATTGACTTCCTGTAAAATTTTCAGTTCTTTTATTTTAATGTAGAGCTCATCTGTTTGTGCTGTAAAGATTTATGGTGACTTGTTAGCTTTCCCCTTTGTTAATGACTCAACAACTTCAGGAAACTTACGGCAATGTCTGCATCTGTGTCAAAAGATTCTGGAATATCAGTTGCATCAGTAGCAATCCAGCCTCCATCTCACCCTACCTATGATTTGCGTGGCGTCATCAAGTTAGCCCTTGCTGAAGATTCTGCTAATTTTGGTATAATAGATATTACTTTTTAATTTTCCATGGTGATTTCTGGGTTTACCTCCCCATTCATTATGATCTTTTTCTTTTTTAAAAGAGGAATTAGTTGCTGAAATTTTCATTTGCCAAATAATATTTAGCACAGTTTTTGCTTCCTAGGTATGCTTTCGATCTTAAGTCTTGTTTCGTTGAACAAGAAATTTATAGATGCATTCAAATCATCAATGTAATTATATTTTCGCCTCGAATCTACTTGGGTTAAGTCTGTTTTTCCACCTAAGTGAAACTGCTGTGATAGTACTCCTAACACAATTGTAGGTGATGTAACATCTCTGGCCACCATCCCCTCTGACATGGTAGTGGATGCTTTCTTCTTGGCCAAAGAGGACGGTATTGTTGCTGGCATTGCTCTTGCAAACATGGTATTCCAGGAGGTTGATCCTTCAATTAAGGTAATGTTGGTGTTCTCTCTCATCCCTCCCTCCCCCTCTTCCTTTTGATTCTTATCGAGTTATTTATGAGATGGACGTGTTCCCGTTGATCCTAATCCACATTGCGTCTTCAGGTAGAATGGTCTCAGAAGGATGGAGATTATATTCATAAAGGACTACAATTTGGAAAAGTTTCTGGTAAGAACTGAAAATCTCTAGGAAGCTTAACAAAACTCCGTGTCGAGCATAGTGTTGGTATGGGATACTCCAAACACGTGATGAAGACATGGAAATAAACTTCCTAAATTTCCTAAATTTTTTATATGCAGGGCAAGCACAAAGCATCCTTGTAGCTGAAAGGGTGGCACTAAATTTTATGCAGAGAATGAGTGGAATTGCAACTTTAACTAAGGTTCGTTTGTTTCCCTCATGATGCAATCAATTAGTAGTTTGATAGTATCAATTTCTTCCACATAATGTATAAATATAGGAACACAATGGGGTGAGATAGCCAATGGATTTTATGTTATTTTGCCTTTTTCTTGTTTGAATGAGTATTAACAAGTACATGGCATCGAGGATTTTGCAGGCAATGGCAGATGCTGCTAACCCTGCACGCATTCTGGAAACGAGAAAAACTGCTCCAGGTTTACGTTTGGTGGATAAGTGGGCGGTGTATATCACTTCCTTGGTTCTACTTTTACAGAAACTCTTTTGGCATTCTACACTTATTCTTTATTGATGTTCTTACAGGTATTAATTGGTGGAGGCCAAAATCACAGGATGGGTTTATTTGATATGGTGTTGATAAAAGATAATCATATATCAGCAGCTGGAGGCATCTCAAATGCCATTAAATCTGTTGACTTGTATCTGCAACAGAGAAATCTTAAAATGAACGTCGAGGTACTTTCCCGAATCCTAACGTTTTTTTAATAAGTTTAAAATTGTTTTTCTAGTTATTCTGAATCCTTTTTGTTTGTTTTTATATTGTAATATCTATTGATATTAAAATTCTATGAGTTTCCTAGTAATGAGATGTTATTGGGTTAGAAAATTGTCTCGTAAGATAAGTCAAGGTACGTGCAGAGAACATTTATGGATATTAAAAAAATGTGTGGGCGTGTGTGTATGCGCTTGTAACTCCGATTTTGTTTAAATTAAAGTATAGTGATATATATTACAACTTGTTTACACCTAAGTTTTATTATTTCTTAAATGTTCAAGAATTTCTTCTTGATATGCTTCATGCTAATTTTTGTTTTTATATTGCTTACTTTTAGATGGAACTGAATTTTTCTTGGTTATATTTTAATCAATTTCCAGGTTGAGACCAGGACTCTTGAGGAAGTTCATGAGGTACTGCACTATGCTACCCAAAACAAGACATCCTTAACTAGGATGATGTTGGATAATATGGTCGTTCCACTCCCGAGTGGCGATGTTGATGTGTCCATGCTTAAGGAGGCTGTAGACATCATCAATGGGAGATTTGAGACCGAGGTACGTACAGTTTAATACCAGCACATTTCGCAGTGTCGGGAACTTGAAATCTATTGATGGCCTTTAAATTCTGCATATGAACAATAATATTTTTTACTTATAATGAGTTTTGCCATTTTGAAGCGTGACCATTTGGCTCACATAGCGTTTAAGTTCGATAGATATTTGATAATGTGATACTAAACACTTGACACACCATATGCTAGAGTGTCTGGTTTATAATTTGATTGCATGAACACATTATTTATGAAACGATGAACAAAAATGAAGAATTTTGGATGAAATACATTGGATTATTCTTCTTAAAACACATATTTTTATGGATGTAATACGTATTTGATTTAAGATTATTCTTCTTTACTCGTTTTTAGCTTGAATTTGCATTTAGGAGGATGTCCTATCCTGTAATATAAATGCTTTTGTAGTTATTTATTTGTTTATATAACGTTATATCAGATTTTGATTCGCCTATTCTCTGGTGGTAGGCTTCAGGAAATGTTACTCTGCAGACCATACAGAAAATTGGACAAACTGGGGTTACTTACATCTCCAGGTATAATACACAGATTGTAATATTTTATCAGCAAGCTTCCAGCTTTTCTTTAATCAAAGTGTGTGTGTATATATATATATATATATAGTTTCAATGCGATTACTTCTCTTAAAAGTCCCTAGTGTCATCAAGAAAGCTTTAAAAGATTTGTTGACAGCCTGATACTGACTCAAAAGAGTCCCAGAAAAGCACCTGAGAGCTAGGAGTTACTGTATTATCCCAGCTATATTTTCTGACACATTATGGCCTTTTGAGGAAATATTTCTTGATTGCTCTGTATTCCATATATTGAAGTCGTATTTCCTTCACAATATCCTCGCATTAGTTTACTCCTAGCATTTACTGTTGGCCTAGCAGTAGAATCCTTGAACTCACCTTCACTTGTTCCCTTCAAGGTGAAGGTGCCATATTTGCCCTGCCGTCTTCTGTAAATGTGGCTCCAACCAGCTTAAAACAAAACAGTGCATCTTAGATTTGATGGGTAACGCGACATAGATATTGATACATCAAATCATAGAGAAATCTTTGATTTAGTTATCCGAGCAGTTTAGTCAAGGCTCAAGCTGAGTCTAGTGAGGATATTGCTTTCTGCCAGTTATGCTAATATATGCTCCATGTAACACAGCAAGCAAAAGTAGTCGGGGAAAAGCTAACCTGCTGGAATACCATTCAAACAAAAGAAACAATGTCCGAGTCAAAATATACTCTCAAGGAAACACGTTAAGAAACTCACATTTCTATTCATAAAAGATGAAGCAAAGGAGAAAATGATTCTAAAACAGTGAAAACTTTAAAAACCTCCACTCAAGTAAGAAGAGAGCTCTTTTATTTTGCAGCCTCATATGCATGATTCCATCTCATCTCATATTCTCATCAGTAAAATTGACGTTATTGTACGTGGATGCCATGTTTGTGCTATTATGCCTTTTCTTTATTGCAAGGAGAGAACCATTTCTTGACCAAATCCTAGTGGAAGTGGGGATCAAGCTATAGAAACTAGGGGGCTTTTTTCTTTTTTTGCTATCTTTTGAGATAATATTTTATGACTTCATCTTTAATCTTTGCAGTGGTGCGCTGACACATTCTGTGAAAGCACTTGATATCTCTCTCAAGATAGACACAGAGTTGGCCCTTCAAGTTGGAAGACGTACAAAACGAGCCTGATTCTAAAACCCCACGTATCTGGTAATGTTTATCCTTTAACGTTTTATTTTTGGGAATAATTCAATTTTAACCCTAATTTTTCCATTTCATCAAATTATGCCTAGACTTGGTTAAATGATGCAATTTCTATCATCTATTCAAATCTTGTTAATTCATCTACTAATTTTAACAAATGTGGGGTGTTTAGATTTAAACACCTGAGTCATGTTGATCCTAACCAAGTTGGATATTTGTAGCTTCTTAATTAGTGTTAGTTCTGTCAAGTTTATTTACTGGACGAGTAAGATATCTGGTTGAAGCCGTCTGCAGTAGCTTAAGTTTTGTGTACTTTTGTTCAAGATGAACTCTGGATATTTTAGTTTTACCGTTATTTTTCTAAACTATTTACTAAAAACCTAACTTAGATACTTTATTTCTTTGATGAATAAGGTATATATAGGCAGATCCTTGTGGTCACTTGCAGTAGTCTAAGTTTTGGATTTTAGAACAGATTTAGAGTTTTGTTGAATGATTTATGAAAAGTTTAGGGCAATACCTCCAAAAAAAAAAAAAAAAAAAAAAAAAAACATCACACCCAATACCTATGAAGCATGAGTACACGTAAAAAGTCTTGAAGGTTAGCCCCTACAACAATTCATCATAACTAACATCTGTGGAAAAGAGTGATGCCCGTAAAATTTAATTATTTTTTATTTTGGTTGTCTAAAACAATAAAATGAATGAACTTTGTACTAGAGCAAGTACATTACACT